CCCCAAAACCCCAAAACCCCAAAACCCCAAAACCCCTTTTTAACTAAAAATGGTTGAACTTGTCTTAACTTGGCTAAAAATAGCATGCATTCGCATTGTCTAAGATTGAAGACTTGCTATTGATTGAAATATCTACCTCGAACAAATGGGTAATTTCTGTGTCAGAATTCGTCCTCTCTCTCTCGAATCACTCCGAAAATGCTGTATCGTCATCCTTACCAGAAGAAGTAAAGAAGCTAAAACCACTATGACTACAAGTATCAGAGATGATGCTCCTTAAGGCCTCATTAGTAAGCTTAGTCTTTTTATTTAATAACTCATACAGTGTAAGGTGGGATCAAAGTCTCTTTTTCTTGTACATAGCAGGAAACTCCAATTTCATTAAGCTTGCCTGCATTATAGCATCCACTCCTTCAAAATCACAAGGAATACTTACTTGATATTAAACCTTACTATCGTGTTGATGTTCTCATCTTCAGAGGACTGGAATCTTGTGAAATTTTTAGCTATATGCAGATCTTCACTACAGCAGCTCCAGTTTACTATCCTGATCAGCTTCCCGCATTCCACATTTCAAAAGATTTCTTTGTTAACTCCTCTATACACAACTCTGTTTTCTGTATTGAAATCTCTCCCTTCATCAACAATGTATGAGTTGAGGAGCCTCATGAATTTGATGCTTTTATCGATGATTTGCTGATAGGTCTTCCCAGACTCAGCAACCACTTTCTTCATGTACTTAACACTCGCAGTTGATACATCCTTGTTGAAAGTCTCTACCGAATCTACGATCAGTGCTGCATTGATTAGTTTCGTGAGTTCCCTAAAAAGTTATAAAGAACCCAAACCTTTCGGCTGAGGTTCACTCTTAAGCTGTAAATCTAGGGATGAATGAGTAAGTAATCCTTAGGATAAAGATCTTTATTGAGCTAGATACACCTGTACTACTGCGTCAGACTTCCTTCAGAATGACTGTGCATAAAATAGAGTTAAGGATGGTCACAATTCATCGGGTGAGAGGGAACATCCTTTAAAATTAGATTTTCCTATTCTGTAAGAGAGCTCAACTAAAGCTTGATGTTGGTACAGATCCCAACTACTGTACAATACACAAGACTTATGCCTCTGAAAAATGAGAATCGAAATTCTCAATAGATATTATTCTCTAATACGGTCTAGAATATTATAAAGTGTGAATAAACCTTGACAAGATATCCAAGCGAGCATGGTCCAAAAGCATTAACTCTAGTGTTTATTTATACATTTCTTGCCAGAATCCTCTAAAGGGGCTTAAAATTCCAAAAGTGTTCGTAAACCATTGGATTTTGCTGATAAATTTAACTTATCTTACTAATACGATCTAGTCGTTGCCATATTCGCCATTAAAGATGAATGGGCACAATTGTGGATAATAACTTACACCTCTTTAGTCCAGATGGAAATGACTACTTTTGCAGTAGACTGCTTATGCTCCTTATACATTTTGTCAATATAACTTCCTTTAAAAATGGATTTCAGGTCATTCAGAGCTTCCTTAATAGGAGGGTATCTCTCTGTGTTGCTAAAGGATTTCATGTAATGTGTATCCTTAAATTTATTAGCTTCAGCCATAGCTACTGCTTTTAGCTGACCTCAGTCTAAATTTTTAGAGGGAGGTTTATATTGTGAATGGCTTGGGGAGGAGAATAATGAACCCATTCTCTTTTGTTCTATTTTTATAATTCAACCTCACTTATTGATAATGGGGTTTTGGGGTTTTGGGGTTTTGGGGTTTTGGGG